CCTCATGTAATAGTATGTATAACTTTTTCAATTAATTTAAAAAGTGACTTGATTTTTTTCACTGCTTGGGAGAGGGTATCCATTTTTAGTCTGTTCTTCCACACCATTAATATCACTTTAGAATATACATAAAATATAAAATCATCATATTCTTCTTATCCTATTTCCCCAAAATTGCAATTGAAAAAGCTTACAAATATTACACACAAAAGAAGAAACTCACAGCTATGGAGACCTAATCATTCTGAGCATATTCTTTAGCCATCTAATTTTTGTACACTATACCCTTCATTTCATATGTCACTAAGACATTTGAATATTATAATAAGCTTCAACTAGATTAGATTTACAAAATAAATGGAAAAGTCACTTAAAAGTTATCTATTTTTAAATTATCTTGACTATTAAAAAGTACCAGAACTAACGTAATGATATCATTTTTGGTATGAGAAAATAATAATTTTCTAAAAGCCCAAGAATATCCTTTTGACTCATGCTCTGCAGAAACCTCCAGAAGATGTTTTTTCGAATCAAGTAACGTAAATTAATACTGTGCGCTAGCCTTAAAAGAGTAATACCCAGCAGATACAGAAGACAGACCAGATTCTTACATTTCACTTAGAAGCCAACCTTCTTTTGTCTCCAGGCAGGAATCTCTATCACTAATGCAAAATCTTTCCATTTAAAAAAAGTCAAATTTGTGCCCTCTCTGGTGGCGCAGAGGGTTAAAGCACAGTACTAAGAAGCTAAAGCCACCTCAGCATGAGTTCAATCCCCGCCCTGGAGGTGACCCACATGGCATGGCAGACCTCTCCTGACCTGCCCACTTCGTCAGTCTGCCTATTTTGCTCCCCACTCTATCTCTGGTGAATCCTCTCACCACCTCTGCACCTCTAGCCTATACCCTAGTTCTGTATGTATGAATAAGTAAATCTTAAAAAACAAAACAAACAAACAAAAAAAAAACCATGGTGAATTTGTACATTATCACTTACAGGAAATAACTTATAGAACTATTAACTACACTTTCTTCTTTCCATTTCCCTGCGATATTTAGTTGCTTCCTGAATTGGACATACGATTAACTGAGACAAAAATGTCAGCAGAGGGCAGCTAAATGACTTTGGACAACTCAACAGAATTTAGAGATACATAGGATGCAGATTTGCTAGAACTTTTCACGTGACTGATTGCATGAAATATTCACAAAAATAGGCATGAAGATTTTGATCTTGAAAAAGGTTAAAAACCTTAATGAGTTCTTTGATACCAGCTAATATATTTGTTTTTAGTTAGCTACTAAACTGGGAAATATAACCAGTTGCAACTGGGACTATCTTTGGTGGCTTGAAATTATCCATGCTGGGAGTATTTTTATAATAGAAATCAGCAAAGTCTGCAAATTAGGACTTCTCTTTCTTTCTGATTTTTTTTCGGGGAGACAGTTTAACAGCATACCATTGAAAACAGCTCTCCACAGAGATTTATGAAGCTCTTAGAACCTGTGACAAAGATAGTCAGGCACAACTTTGGGGTGGAGGATTCTGGGGAATAAGCAAGTATTCTAGCAGCATAGCATTCTCAAGACCCATCTTAGTAAGATTTGGCATTTCTCTTTTCTCTTGGCATACAAATTCCATTAAATTTTTACTAGAAACGATTTCTCTAAAATAAGGTCCCTAGTTCCACTTTTCTTTATTCCAAGCTAAAAGGAGACCAGGAAAACCTCTTGCCTTTTAGTAAGCAGAAGTTACCTGATAAATTGCATAGTCACTAGAACAGAGTCAAAGCCTCAGAGAAACCAGACCTGGCCTTTTTTTTTTTTTTTTTTTTTTGGTGAATGACAGCATTAAAGAATGTAACCCCTCTTAACTTCTCTACACCCAGTACATACAAATTGCTTATACTGATACAACCCTCAATGGTAACTCACTTCACACCTCCATTTTCTTTCTTGTTATCACGAAGATTAAACAGCATGTTTGGGCAATATTCTGCATTTATCTAACCTTGTCCATACAGGCCACACTGATACAATAGAACAGGTTTATGTAACTCACACGTCAGATCCTATCAAGAAACTTGGTAGTGACAGTTTGATAAAGACACCATAGTTTATTGAACTTGTTCTAAAAACAACAGCAGCAAACCATTCATCTCCTCACACTTTTTAATGACCTTGTTCTACAGAGTCCCCATTTTTAGATGTAGGAGACGTATCACTAACTCTGACCTCAGAGGATACAGGAAGCTGTGAAAATGTGACAATATGTTTTGGTATGACACCACTAAAAATTCTAGAAAACTTGCATTTCCTTCAATTCCCCATTAAGAAAACTTGAGAAAGGACTGTTGTAGGCCTAGTTTTAACTTGCATCTTGCCAGCTGTTTCAAAGTGAAAAACAAACAAACAAACAAAAAGAAAAAAAACTTGTCAGAAGGTAAGTATTACCAGGAGTTGTATTTTTCTTTGCCGTCTAGAATGGGTATAATTGTATTGGATAATGAACAAGAATGCTAACAGATTTTAATGTTCCAGGATAACCTCTCTGGTCATGACACATAAAGACAAATAAAAACAAATATACAATTAGATTTAAATGTAAATGTTAACTTTTGGACATGCTTTCATTTTCTGTGTTTAAACTTATTTTTGCAATTCCTATGACCCAAACCCATTCGTATGGCATTTACAAAGATGACTATAAGTACTTTTAATACTGTATTCACAGATACTGTATTCTAAAATTCGTTATTGCTATTAAGTTGAAAGTAAACTTTATTACCATGGTAAGATTAGTCTGAAAATATTCTAATTTCTGTGGATTTTTAAATATTTCTGCTTTTGTAATTAGAGCAGGATAGGAACATTCAACTATAAACCTGAGGTTTCATTTTATTACTCAATTAGCTTTTGGAACCTACAAGTATTACTCTTCTGCTTTGTGACCTGAAGATGGCAGTTCCTCTGTTCTTGGGACAATACCAATCTGGTAGAAGGTAGATAGACTCAAGGAAGAAGCTTCAGGGTAGTAGAGAAACCTACAGGGTATATAGTACAAACAGATAAGGTTGCTGGTAATACCTTTCATCATAATAACCGAGACTTTGTGAGTCTGGGAAATAAAATTTTGCTTTGAAATTGTAATATAATTGATATTTCAGCTTTCACTGAGGATAAGATAAGGCACACTTCTAAACTGACTTGTTTGTGTTGGCTTTGCTCACCCTACTTTGAGTGAGCTGACATATACCCAGAAACCTCTAGCATATCTCTTTTAAACTCTCTCCCACTTACTGAAGAAAAAAAGGTTTTTGTTAGTACTGGGAGTCCTTTTTGTCCTCTCACCTCAGCTTTTAGATATGATTATGAAGAAAAATTATGAACTATTTTGAACATACCAAAATGTATAAAGAATATGAGGACTGAGTACCCACCCATCTGCCTTTAAAGTAAAACATGACAAATATAAGTGAAGTCACCGGTGTATTAATTTTATCTCCTCAGAGGTAACCACTGATTTATACCTTTGCTATGTACATCCATAAACATCATGTTGTTTGTGTTTTAAATTTTTTATATAGATGGTTTCCTTCTTCCCACGTTATTCTTAAGAGTTACAAACACTTATAGCTCTGGTTATTGATTTTTACCACTCCAAACTATTTTATAGTATGGATATACAACTACCTGTTTTTCCATTCTTTGATTGATGTGTCTATAAATATTTATCACTGAACAATGTGTGAGAAATTTTCTAGGGCACAGACCTAGGATTTGTATTTTTGGATCAGTGGACATACCCATTTTAGCTTCAGTCAATATTGCCAAAGATCGAATCACTGGCAGTGAAGCCAGCGATCTGTTTAACAAAACCTCCAGTTTCAGAGATTCTGATTCAGTGGTTTGATAGGGACTGGCCAGCCAGTAGTCTGGCAAGAATTTGCATTTTTAACAAGTCACCCAGAGACATTTCAGCTGTTGTAGTGTAGTGTCTGGGACTACATTTTAAGAGCAGTGCTCTTTGGTTACATTTGAAAGGGTGAACAGAAGAGAACCTGTGTGAAAAGATGGGGTTGGTGAGGTTTTATTGGGCAAAGAAAAGTTGGCTGGTGGTCTAATTTTAATTTTCAGAATTTTTTTTTGTTTCATTTTTTTAATGAATGTTTATTTTTACATCATTTTGTGCATTTTTCCATCTCAGTTGTAATCCTCTTGGGCTTCCCATCACCAAATCACCAATGTGCCATCACCGTAGTTCAGTGCATTTCCCTCCCCATCACTGTTTTTGATCCCATTCCCCACTCCACCCCTGTAAAATGTCTCTGGTATATAGCTGTTCATTATTATTAGTTATTTTCTCCCCTGGTCCATTATATTCCTGCTATGAGTGAAACCACCTGGTATTTTTCCTTTTCTTTCTGGCTTATCTCACTAAGCATGATCTTTTCCACCTCCATCCATGTTGCTACAAAAGGCATGTGTTTATTTTTTTGGTTGCTGAGTAATATTCCATTGTGTATATGTATCACATCTTTTTAATCCAGTCATCCACTTTTTGGCTGTTTCCATGTCTTTCCAACTGTAAATTAAGCAGCAATAAACATGGAGATGCAGGTGTATTTTTGAATCAGTGTTTTTGTGTCATTTGGGTAGATACCTAGGAGTGGGATTGATGGGTCGTATGGAAGCTCCATGTTTAGCAGTTTGAGGAAAATCCAAACAGTTTTTCATAGTGGTTGTACTAGAGAAACTAAATTCTTAATGAGTTCTGCTACTGGAAGGTGGTGCAGAAGTGGGCAGGAGGTTTGGCGGGTGGCGTCTCCCTGCAGTGGGCACCATGGGCTTGGCTATTGCTAACTAATTTTGACTGTATCCATAAAACCCTCGAAGCAGATGTGAATGTTCACCTGGGTGTTCCTCAAGATTTAAGCCAAGAGGCTATTGAGTCTTACTCATTTGACTATTTTCAGATATTTATATGCAAAAACACACAAAATAATTTTTTATATTATTTAATTTTTAAATTATATCCCAAAGTTAGTAGCTGTGCTAGGTAGAATGCCAGGGAGGTTTCCCTCAAACAGTCTTCCTGCAAGAACTTAAAGAAGTCTTGAAAATGAATTCTTTGATATATTTTAGGGTAAAACACACAGCAGGCTTACAGAGTCTGCAAATGGTTAACATGTAAACTGGAAAGAAAGTGATTTTATTTCAGATTTAGAAATACAAAAGGTCAACTAGGAAAAAAAACAAACATGTACCAGTAACCAAAAGTATTTGCTTACGTCATTCTACAATTCACATAATAAGATAATAGTTTTTCAAAACCAGACAACAGGTTCAAAAATACTTCTTTTCACACCCTTAAGTGATGCTGTTGGGAACAATGGCTGTTACAGGGCCATTTATTGCAGGCACATTTCCAGGGAGTCCTGGTTATTATTATTCTCATTTTATCTTCTTTCTTTCTTCTCTCTCATCAGCTTTTTGCTTTCTTCCCTTCTTCTTTTATTCACTGGATTCCGAGGATCATAGATTTCAAATGTATCTGAGTCTTGCATGCTTGCATCTTTCACTTTTCTGGTTTTATCCTCAAACTGAAGTACATGTGACATCCTAAAGAGGGGGAGAAATGGTTCAGTGATTTTGGCAGGAGAACTGAAAGCAGAAATTGTATACTACACCCTCCTTGGCATAATGAACCAAACGGGGACAGAGCACCAAGATGAGTTTATTGTACGCTGGTGCTCATACCACATGGAAACCAACTTCTCAGAAAACATTTAAATTTAAAAAACATGTCTGGGGTTTGTTCTGTTGGTTTGTATTTCTAGTAATGAGTCTCTTTACCTCATACTTCCCTTGAGGTTCCTTCCCTGAAGAGAGGTTAGCGGAGTTCTACTCAGAAGTATTCCCTAAACTATACCCAGAGAACATTCTTCCAGCTTCTTTTAAAAAAGCACACTTAGCCAAGAATGAGCCAGACTGCAGAAAAAAACTTCTGTAACCGGTACTATTTGACTTTTTTGTTTGTTTGTTTTTAGTTGTTGAGTTGTTGAGTAGGTCAAGAATAGGGAATGTGTTAAAATTTTATAGTGATGTTCAAATGGTGTTTTGACTCCCTTTTTCTGTAAGACGTTGGGTTCACTTTTTTTTTTTTCTTGTTAACTACCAATAGAAACTAAAAACTAAGACTTTGGCATAATTTCATGAAATAATTTCCTCCTCTTACTGTTGATTACAGCAACTCTTAACTATACTGCTTTCCTATTTTATCAACTGCTTACTGGTCTTAAGGTATCAGCATGTGCTTGAATCATAAGTGGTCATAAGCTGGCTATCGTTAGCAGCAGGGAAATATGTAAGCAATTAGCTCTGCCCATTAGGAGGTGTCAGGAATAAAATAAGGAAGTCAAGAGTCGGACTTGTAGAAGAGTTGAATAAATTTAGAAAGAGCAAAGTCCAGTTTTTATATATAAACAAAACAAAGTTTTCCCCATTAGTTATTTAAGCAGTTTTTAAAACAGAAAATAGGCATGCCTAGCACTTTTCTTTTATCATAGCAGATAGGACTAAATTGCCTAAAGGATTAACACTCCCCATATGTCAGTTGAAACTTCCAGATGAAACCCAAATATTACATTAATTTCTTTTTCTCTATATAAGCAGAGATTTAAGTAGCAGGTACTAACAGGAGCTCCCACATCCCCCCTTACCTGTCAGGGTATAAGTGCTGAGTGAAATAAACTTTCATGACAAAATTCCATGGATCTAATCAGATTCTAAACAATCAGAGGAAGATTTGGGGAGGGAAATGAAATGTTACAATATTGGTGATACTATAATTATTAAGGGTTTAGTAGCTGCTTTTCACCAGGGCTGACAAGTTGAGTCCTATTATCATTCCACCATCCTCTATTTCAGAAAAGCTAATTGGAACGTTGTGAATACAAGGGATTAGATGGATGACATAGAGTCACTTTCAATTTACCAAATAAGGTAAGTCACATTCACATTTCTGTACATGATTACTAATAAGGCATCACTGCATCAACATAACTGATCCCAACATGTGAACTGACTTTTTTATACTTTCATTGTTTTAGTGAACATATTTACTTAGATATATTCTTTTGAGTCTGATTTTCTTGAGCCTTCAATGTTCTATCATGCTTAAGTAATAGAATCAAGCAATTCCCAACCCTAGAAAAAGGCGGATGGTTCCATAGCCATGGTAACAAGTGACTCCTAAAACTAAACTGGATTTAATTAATTAATGATGACTCACCTAGGCCTAAAAGACTAGCGACAACTGACTTAGTAAATACACCTCTGAAAGAGAATTCATCAGTGACAGCCTCATGATTTTGAAAGGGGGCTGACGAGTAGTGGATTCACTTCAGTGAACATGCCTCGGAAAGACAACCAGTCTCTCTTGAATAATGCTATTCCTTAGGCTGATGTCAACCTCTAAACAATCCCTGAGCCCAAAATTCTATAGGATTTGCAGCTTGCTTTGCTCAGAAAGACTGTGCCTGAAAGCATAGTTCCTCTTTAGTTAAGTAAGAAGCCAAGCCTTTTATTTCAGATATTGAGAGGTCGTCTTTTTCTTTGGCACTCCTTATAATGTATGCTGTATTCTCCACAAAGCACTCTTTAGAAATGGTATGTACATTAACACTGGTGAGGACCAAGGTGAAAAGAGTGGCAAAACTCTAAAATTTTTCTCAAGCATGCCTGTATTGACAATAAACAACAAAGCCACTATCTTGAAATACCTTATTAATACCTTCCCTTATACACATTCTTCTATTTTAAAAATTGTTCCTTTCATTCTACAAAATACAATTTGTTTTTTTGGGTAACATCCATTTCTAGTAGGGACATCCCAGTTACAGAGATGGCTTTACCATCATGTGTCAATTCAAAACATAAACAGTTCCTTCCTCCTTTCTATGTCATAAAAGGATCTTGCAACTATTGGATTTAGTTGGCTCTGGTATAAGAAATGAAAACAAGACATGTGAACAACAGCACTGAGTCCACAAAAAGAAACAGATTTTTCCTGCAAATTTGAAAAAACAGACAGCCATAAATTAAAGTAGCTGTCTATTTCAACTGTTTGCTTCATACACCACTGCACTAAACAAGTCCAACGCTTTGATTAATAACAAACTTAAACCCAGAGGAAAGAAGGGGCTGTTTGCTTACAAACTACTTCAGTTTTAATACCATAATACTTAGCATGGCGGTTACTCAGCAGTAATATTTAATCTTTAATAGAAATAAAAGCACAATCAAAATGCATCACCCATTTATCTTTCAACATGTTTCGTTCACTTCATTTTAAAAAGCAAAACAAAACACTTACTATGATTTTCAGCATAATAAACTCCTGACCTATGTGTCTTCATAAATCCCAGGCTGCATGAATTGAAAGCATGCCCACATTTTATAGTCTCCTGTGAGAATATACATGCAGACTTATAATACAGACTTAATTCAAGTACACAAGGGCCTGGTAGTTTACAATCTTGTATGTCCCAATAACTCAATACTATCCACTCTGTGGCTGGTCATGGAATTGGCTCAGTCAGAGTTTTTTGGGCCAATTTTTGGAATTAATTACACACTGATCATTTACATATGAAAAATTAAGAACTTGTTCTCTTGAAGGCAAAGACAAGAATTTAGTTCTGATTAATGAAAAACGTGACATCAGCTCAGATTCTCAAATAAGGACATTGACTTTAGTGTATCAAAGAAAGATGGAGGCTTGCCACTTCAGAGACTGTGTTTGACTATTTTTATGCACGGGATTATACAGAATTATACACAAAACCAAACACCTGAGTTTTAAAAAAGGGCCTGGAATTTGATGAAACTCAATTGTGACAGAGAAAGATATGTTAACAATATTAATGAAGAACACAAGACAGGAACTCATTCTTACACATAGCTAAATATAGACTTACAATGTTAATAATTCATTTTTTAAAAGATTTATATATTTATGCATAAAGAACTGGGGTACAGGCCAGAGGTGCAGATGCAGGTGCAGTGAGAAGACTCACCAGAGACAGAGTGGGGAGCAGAACAGGAAGATCAACAAAGTACATTGCTGACGGGAGCAGAGGGTGGGTCAGGAGAGGTCTGCCATGCCATGTGGATCACCTTCGGATGGGGACTGAACTTCTACTGAAGTGGCTTTAGCTTCTTAGTGCTGTGTTTTAACCTGCTGCGCCACCAGGGAGGGCCCTACTAATTCATTTTTCAGTGAAATATATTGGAATTGTTTAGGTGCATAAAGTAAACCGCTTTTTTCACCAGGAATTCTGTAAACCATTTCGCTCTGTTTGTAACCTATCACCCTACCCTATAATACTGGAGCCCGACCCTTAAAATATTCTACCAACTAGATCTTCCCCTCTCTCCAACCTCATTTTGTTTCTTTCATCAACTCTCATCATTCCATAATTGCCTGTTTACTTAATGGTGAGTGGACTGTCAGTTTTTTGAGGCAGGTTGAGTCTTGTTCAGTTACACTCCTAGTACCCAGCAGGTGCTTTGTGCTGGGAATCAAAGCCTTCAGACCTTTTGTACCAGACCTACTGTCTGGTACTAACTGGTTTGCTAAATTAACACTTAACGTCCTTTTGAGGGCAGGGGCTGTTTTTCATTTCTATGATAAAGTTCTAAAATGTCTAACAGGTGGGCAGAAAGTCTGATGCTCAGCACAAGTCCCGCTTTTTATGACCTCCCAGAGCTCAGCACAGGGATGGTTTACGACCCACTGCACTCCTGCCAGCGAAGGCTGTCCCTGTCCTCATGGACTGCAGGAGAGCATGGCTTATACTCTTTCTACTTCCCATGACATCAAATGTGAAACTAGACAGGATATTTTTTAAAGCAATGGTTCTTAAATTCTGATACTAGAGCCCTGTATCAAAGGGAAGCTGCAGTTTAGAAGCACCTGGACAAATAAAAAAAAAAAAATCACTATGAGGCCTCCACCTTTAGAGGAACTGATTTAATGTTCCAGGATGCGGCTTCAGCATCAGTTACTTAAAATTTTTTCTTGTGAATTCTAAATACAGCCAAAGTTAAGATCACAGTACTAAAGTTTAACAACCTTTACACTTTCAGATGGATTTTACCAGCCAGTTGTTCTTGCTCCTTTAGAGATGAAAAACAGCTGTTACTAATGACAAACTATGTACATATTTGAAGAAGCTTTAAGTGGCTTCTAAGCCTATTATTTGAACTGAATAATCTCAAGTATATAATCCACTTTTTATATATGGTTTGAGGACATGCCAAGGAGGTAGGTTTAATTATTCACTCAACAAACAATTAAGGGCTTTTTCTGATTGGGACCCAATGTCAGACACTGGGGATACAAGCCAATCATGACATCTTAAATGAAAAGATAGGAAAATGAACATGGAGATCGGATTAAATAGGCATCTTGGAACTGCCTGCAAGGTGGGAGGCCACAACAAGAGTAACCACGACTGCACTCTACAAAAAGCTCTCACATGTCAGCCACTATTTTCAAATAACTGTATGGGTTAGGCAGGAGAGATTATGACCCCTACTTCACAGACATCTGGAAA